CCTGCTCCGTGTCCAGCGGGGCAGGCATAAAAAAAAGATTCCTGGGTCGCCCCGACCCAGGCCAGCCTCACAGCCACGTGGCCCAGGGGTCGGGCCAGGCCCTGTCACTGAAGCACAAAGCTGGGGACACCCACCCCCCCATCTCTGACTGGGGGTTGGCGCCAGCCCTTCGTCTGCCTGTGTGCTTCCCACCTGATGCGGCATGGCTGCCTTGGGATGTTCCCAGGACTCAGCAAGTGTCTTTTCCAGGGTTTAGCACCCCGAAGGCTGGGTGAGGCCAAGCTGGGAAAGCCCTGCAGCACCCAGGGTCCTGCTGCCCCTTCTGGGGGGGGACAGGGGTTGCTGCACCCCCAGGACCTGCTTGCCTGCAGGGCCCTGCCCCACACCCAGAGATCAGGGGAGGTGCTCAGAGGTCATCTAGTGCTTTTTGCACAACAAAGCCATGGGCTGCTCCTTTATCTTGTTCTCCCTCCCCTATCAATAGTTTTTCTGGTCCGACTGGATTTCCCTGCTGCCACATCCCCAACAGAGAGGGAAGGTCCACACAGCAGGGGTAAGGAGGGGTAACTGCCCCCCACCCCTGTGCACTGAAGGCCCCAAACCTCTCTCTGCTTGGGGCACATAAATAGCATCTGTTAAGTCACCAGCACAGAGGTGTTTGTGCTGACCTGGGGCAAGCACGGCCTCTGTGAGACTCCCACTCTGCCCGGTCAGCAACATCCGGAGGAAGCACCTGCTCGGTCCTGGGAAGCCAGGCTCTGGTGTCCAGCTCTGGCTGCTCCGTGCCTGGGAACAAGAGAGACAGGCGTGATGACCTGGGTATGCAGCCACCACACCAGGGTGCCTTGGAGCCGTGCGTGGCACAGGCAGCGGCTCCCTCTGGCCCCTGGTTGGGTTTTGTCTTGGTGGCCAGCACCAGCAGGCACCCCGAGCCCCAGGACACGGAGCAGAGTCCATCTCATCCCACCTCCTTTACGGCTCTGGAGAGCAGCGTTGGGCTGAGCAGGGGTTGGGGTTGAGATGGGCTCTGCACCGCCCGCGTGCTCCCGAGGCATCCCCATTCCCCAGCCCAAAAGTCCCTGTCTGCTTCCTCCTGCCTGAGCCCCTGCCCCAGCGGAGGAGCTACGTGCCTGTGAACATGCAGCAGGACACGGTCCCTGCTGCTGCTGGAGAGGCAAGCGCTCACACCGCAAAAAGAGGTGGAAACCAAACAAAAGGTAACAGAGCCCTGCCAGGAGGGTAGCACTGCGAGAGCTTCTGGGTGACAACTGGATTTGCTTCCTCCAACCTGGCAGGGAAACTTTAGGGGCCGTTTACTTCTGGGGAAGGCAGGGAGGAGTCTGGCACAGCTGTGCCAATGGCTTATGGTACTCACCTGCTTTGCAAAAAAAGTGGGGCCGGCTCTGCAGCAGCTTCCAGGCACGCAGAAGCGCAGTTGTGGGGTTTCGGCTCCAATCGGACAGCCCTGTTCCTATGCAGGAGAGCCCGGAGCTCCCAGCTGGCAGCGGGAAAAGATGTTGCTGGTCGCCGGGTACCGTGTCCACGTGTGAGGAGGAGTTGCTGTGCCTGAGGCACCGCTGAGGATGTCAGACCCAGCCCTGCCAGGGGTCTCCAGGCCTGCGCTGCCTCCAGCGCTGCGCCACGTTGCACAAGCCAAGGCGGCACTTTCGCACGCACCTCGCAGCTGCGAGAGCGCAGCGACCAAACCTCTTCCGTGCACGTCCCCACCTGCCCCACGGAGCTCCTGGGCCGTAAGCTCTAGGGGCGGGTGGGCGTTAGGAAGCGAGGGACACTGGGGGACAACAGCCTGGTGCAACCGGGCAGCTGCAGGGTGTGCGCAGCACTCGCGCGTGGCCTGTGCCAGACCTGGATGTGCCACACGATGCTGACAGGTCCCTGAAGGGCAGCTGCCACCTGGTGGCACTGGAACAATGCTGCTGGCCACAAGAACCTGGATGGGGACATTTGGGGTGGCCCTGCACCGTGGCACCGACTGTTCAGCCAGGCTGGGGCTACTCCAGCACATGCCGGGCACTGCCGCTTTCACCCAGGGACACACACCCTTGGGACACACACCAGGGACACACACTTGGGGGACTCGCCCAAGCCCTGAATCCTGGCTCTTGCCAAGGGTGCTCCGGCTGTGGCTGCCCTCCACAGGTTTTGCTGCACTAGCTTGTGCCAGGCTAGAAGCTGGCTGGGAAGTGCCGCCTCCAAACCCCTTGATTTGGCTCTGGGAATCCTCAGCCACAAAGAGCTGGGTGCTGGGGGCAAGCGCAGGCTGGGGGCTGCCAGCCCATCCCCAAAGCCTCCTCTTCGCTCACCCTGGTCTTCTTGCTTGGCAGGACTCAGCCATATCCCGCTTCCCAGAAGAGAAGGAAACAAAAGAGCAGGAGGGGGAAGGGTCTAACAGAAACTTCTTCCAACTTGTCAGAAAGAGAAAAGCCCTATTCAGGCAGAAAGAATACCCGTGTGGGGCTGGTCACTAAGCAACCTGCAGCAATTAGGTACGGCGCGAGGCATGGGCAAGGAACAAAGCTGCCCACTTGCCCAGCCAGGCAAGTACTGGGCAGGGAGAGCCTGCAGAGCCTGGCGTGCACAGCCACAGCGAGGGACCGGGACACCCAGCAGGGTCCAGAGCTCCCGGGTGCAGGAGTTTGTGCCCGGCTGGCTCTGGGGGGTGACCGGCCTCCATCAGGCTCTCCCCTCACAGGGAGGCCATTTGCTGCTCAGGATGGATTTCAGGTCTGCTCCAAAACCTGTGGCGCCCCACGGGCTCTGCTCTTCATATGGGGCTACACACATCATTCCCAACAGAGGCACAGTGCTTTACAGAGAACTCCCTGCTCCCACAGACACTTGGATGGGCAGAGCAACCACACGCAGGCTACACCCTCCTGCAGAGAAGCCAAATTCCTCATTAAGGTTATCAGTGTGGGGAGTTGTCCTTTGCAAACACGCTTCGTGAGACATGAGAAACTGCTTGGCCTCTCCACAGCACATGGTAAAAAGGTACAAAGGAAATCTGGCCTGACAAACCCTGCTGCCAATCCCCGCTGAAATGCCTCCCTCAGAGCCCAGGGGGTCCCTGGAGACGCTGCTGCCTCCAGTCAGAAGTACTGCACAAAAGGAAACCCACTCGCAGCCAGAGCAGGTCCACTAGGACCAGTCCGTGTGCAGCTGGGCCCCAATCCAGCATCTGATGAGCCCGAGTAGATGGGCTGGACCGGCCTGGACACTGGAAGCGGCTTTTCGCCTGTGTGGTGGCATGGGGGAAACATCCAGGCCTCCATGCATTTGTCTCCAGCATCTGACACGCTCAGAGAGCTGGGAAAAACTTGCCAGGTGTTTACCCACTTCCTCAGGGAAGTGTTTGGCCACCTGTGATCCCATCCTGCGACAGCAAGGTGACAGTAGGAGATGCTCAGGTGTGCCCACAAAAGCTGCAGAGCCCCTGCAGATGGAGGCATCCCCATTAACACTCAAGTCCTGCCCTTCCCTGGCTTCATTCTCCACTCTCTCAGCCTTTAAGCAACTGATTTGGAGGCACACTAAATAACCACGTCCCACAGGGCTGCAATGAAAAACAGCTTGGCCAAAGCATGGCCATTTATTTTGATTGCAAAACCCCTTTCAGAAAGCCAATACTCTGCAGGCTCGCTGGCGGCCACCAGGTCCCTCTCAGCACGATGGAGGACGGGCACTCCAGCCAGCAGTAAGGATGGATAGCGTCCACGCCGGGATTTGGAGTGCTCCTACCTCCGGTGGCAAGGAGGCAAATACAGCTCTCCTGGGACAGCTGGGAGCCAAGCGTGTCAAAGCCCAGCTAAGCAGGGACTTGGCACACCAGGACCACGACAAACATTCACATGTCCTGCAGCCAGGGGAGTCCCAGAGCAATAGACACCGAGCCTGGCATGCCTGCTGCGCCACGGAGAGCCTTTACCTGCCCCTGAGCTGATGGTGGTGCTCCTTCAGAGGTGTCATGACGAGGCCACGCCATGAGGAAGTGAGACTCATCTTCTCTCAAATCAGTCACCCAGAAATGTCCAGTCATAGAATCACAGAATCACAGACCGGTTTGGGTTGGAAGGGACCTTAAAGATCATCCAGTTCCACCCCCCCTGCCATGGGCAGGGACACCTTCCACTAGACCAGGTTGCTCCAAGCCTCATCCAGCCTGACCTTGGACACTTCCAGGGATGGGGCATCCACAGCTTCTCTGGGCAACCTGTCCCAGTGCCTCCCCACCCTCTCCAGGAAGAACTTCTTCCTGATACCCAATCTGAATCTCCCCACTTTCAATTTAAACCCGTTACCCCTTGTCCTGTCACTCCAGGCCCTTGTAAAAAGTCCCCCCCAGCTTCCTTGTAGCCCCTTCAGGTACTGGAAGGCTGCAATAAGGTCTCCCCGGAGCCTTCTCTTCTCCAGGCTGAACAAGCCCAATTCTCTCAGCCTTTCATTCATCAGTCCATCCTTTTCTTCTGCAGGGAGAAGAGTGAGAGCAGCACCTCCAGGAGTTAAGTCAATCTGAGACGGGATCTCTGTGTCCACCTCCATCCACTGGCTGCAGAGCTTCCTTAGACAATACACCCACCTCCAAGAAGGACACCACTATTGGAGAGGATCCACCCAGAACTGTAGCCCCAGCCTGAGGAGCAACTCCTTGCAAAGAGAGAAAACCTGGAAGAAGAGGCAGGACAGCAGACTATAGGATACCCAGATCCATCCTGGATTCTCGTCTTCCAATACCAGTGCCTACAACCATCAGCAAGTCCTGCAGCATAGCCAGATGGAACTACTTTGTCAGCGTGTGGGATTTTCTTGCTGTTCTTCTCCTGGTCTGTAGCATTTGCACATTTGTAGAAACATTGTGAGAGAACAGAGGTGCTGAAGGAGGAAAATATCTTTGTGGGGATGCAACATTCCGGGAAGTCCAGCTCTGGTGGTCCTCTTCCATTCCCAGTGAGATCTCCCAGGCCGTGGCCCTTGCCACACAATCAGGATCTCTGGTAAAGCTTCATGATACTCTCGTCATGAAGTTTTTTCCACACCTGCTTCTCCAGGTTGAAGTCGTGGTTAGTGTAGAAAATCAGACGTTTCCAGGCCTTGTCATAGTAGTGATCCGAGTATTTCTCATGACCCTCCGTGATGTAGCCATAGGCACTCACCTGGCAAAGACAGAGGGCTCACTGGGTGAGGTACCAAGGACGGAGGGAGCTAAGTGAAGGGTACTAAGGACACAGTCCCCAAACAAGGAGGGAGCACAGGACAGCGATGCCAGTCAGGGCTCCTCCGAGTGACCCTGCATGGGGGTCCAGAAGGACCAGGCTGTGAACACTGGCTCCAGAGAGCCTGCTTGCCTCTCACTGCCTCCGTGGGAGGCTGGATCGTTCTCAGGCCACAGCAGGCCTCACAACCTCTATGTGCATTATTTTGGGGCTGTTTCTCTTGTCTTCAATCAGCTCCCTCATGGCTGACAAGAACCCATATGCCCTCAAGGCAGACATCAGGCAGGGCTGAAGCCACCCCTGCTCGGCCGTTATCCCATCCCCCTTCCAGGCAGTGCTGTGTGCAAGAATCATCATGCTCTTACCCGGTCACAGAGATGGAGGGCAGTCAGCAGCAGGAAACTGTACAGCCGCCAGTAGGGCTTCTCCAGAGTTTTAGATTTTAAAAACCTGCAACAGGAGAGAAGAAAGGCCAGAGTAGTTGCTGGGTGTGCTGGTTCAAGCTGGGCACACCTTGTCCTGCTGTGGCCTGTGTGGCATCTTCCCTCCTTGCAGCAGCTTGTGGCCATACGGGGCATTTCGGACATGAGTGTGGGTACCACTGCATGCTCAGTAAAGCACAAGGCCAGCCCAGAATGTTCCGTCACCTGCACTGCAACATAGCCCAGGTCTGCCCCAGGTTTATGGAAGTGTTAGGTCTTGAGGCAGTGGGGATAAAGAGGGGGTGGATTAAAGGACCTAGTATATTAAAGCCCACTCTTAAACCTGTCCTTTGCCTTGCAGTGCAGAAGTGGCTTTAAAGCTCCCTGGTAATCCTGCTCCCCATCCATCTAAGAGTGAAACAAGACATAGGAAAGGTGCAGAGGAGGGTTGCAAAACCCGCTAGTAACTGCAGTGGCTTATGCCAGCAGTTGTTAGGAAGCTAGGAGTCCACAGCAGGAAAAAATAGCATTTGAGCCCTCTTGGCATTGGAAAGGACCCAAGTCAGAGGGGAGACAGCAGAACGAGCAGGGAGGTGCAAGCCATCTGGCCCTGCATTTGCCTTCTCTCAGAGAAGGCGTAAGTCAGCTCTTACGGAGACTGAAGGGTAAACACAGCCAAACCAGGGCACAACAGGAGCCTTCCTTCCTACGTGTCTGGGTCACGTGTGGCCCACAATTGGCAGATCTTCCAGTGACAGCGTCCAGCAGGGTTGTGAAGAGGATTAGAGAAGCAAAGAGCAGCCAGGCCAGGCAAATGGGATACTGACAAAGTGCCTATTATTGTGCTTGAGGGCACAGACAACCTCTCTACTCCAGAAGAGATCTCGGGAGATAAGAGCCTTCCTCCAAGGTGCTAAGCAATGGGGAACATGAAGGGTTGGTCCTGAACTACATCAACTGTTCTGGCACAACACTCTTCACGCACCTGAAGTTGCCATTTGCCCAGGACATCTTTTGGATGCAGAAAGCCAAACTGCCCGATAGCTGTTGCTTCTCCAGCTCACGGATGCTGGACGTGTACCCACTGCTAACATCTCACTGCAGCACCACAGAGCATTTTAATTGCCTGTGCACTGACGAAGCTTACCCCCAATCTGCTGGTGTTGCTAACCTGCAGTTACAAAGGAGTGAGCTTGGAGAGAGCCCAGAGACAGACAGAGATGGTGCTGGCCAGAAATAATAGGCCCGTTAGAGCATATAACCCCCAGCTCACCTGTTTTTCATGTATCTGAGGAAATCAGGGTGAACCACCAGGTATCTGTCCATTGTGAAATCTTTGTCGAATCTCTCCCGGGGCCTCTGCCTAAGGACAGGAATGGTGAGGCTCAGGACAAGGTCCTATATTTCATCACAGCTGGAAAGCATCAGCCCTGATGCACTTTGTGATAAGAAAAGAACCACAAATGCTGTTAAGTTACTCTGCAACATTTGCCAGATGATGACAAAGCCTCCATAACCTGTGTGCATTGCCGAGGAAGAGATCAGGAGATGGGAATATCAAAAGCGTGTGTGTGTATATACCAGGATTGGTGAAACCAGGCCTTCATCCATAAGCAGGCCATCACACACAGTCAGCAGACCAGACAACAGCACGTGCTCATCCCAGAGGACCACAAAGTTTTCTCCAAGCTCTGGCCAAACATCATTGAAATCAGCTACTTCTGGGAAGGAGGTGTGTTGGTTACAGCAGTGCTCAGAGCTGGGGAGGAAATAAGGTATTTCTCCAGATAAATCTGCAAGGGGAGGGAGGCTTTAACATGGCTTTACCCTGGCCTGCACTTTGGCAGGGCTGAGGACTGAACAGAAGAAGAGGGTACAGCAGAGAGCTCCAAAATGAAGCGTGTAGAGGTGGGGCCAGTTTGTTTTACCCATAGTGGTTCAAGAATCCTTCACGGATGTTCTTGTTCAGCAAAAGAGCCTTCAGCCACTCATAGTCTCTAGCTCCCTCCAGGAAGTGAATGTATCTGACATGCTAAGAGAACAAGTGAGCATTAATGAACGGCACGAGAGAAATACATCCCTTAAAAACAAAAAGCAAGCGGGCACCTAGGCTCACCGAGTTTCTGGGACACACATCTTTGGTCTGCCGCTTTTAACAGTTTCACAGAAGCAGCACGGAGATTCCATCTGATGTGCAGCTACTTCTCCATGTCAAAGGGCTGGGGTAGGACTCACAGAGCTTGTCACTGCACATACTCCAAGCCAACGCAGGTTCCCTCACTCAGGACAATGCTAAAGTGTTAGCTCAGCCCCTCTGCTCCTCATATACTACAAGGTCAGAACTGAAGGCCACAGACTAACAACATCCCATCAAGGTTGTGCGTGCATACAACATGGACCTGACTTACTTTTCCACTTGGGATGTTGCTGAATCCTCTGTAGCCCAAGATCTGGAGAGAGGACACCAGGGAGAAGGCTGTGAATCCATAAAAGGAGGTTTTTGTTCCCACATCTTTTTCATAACCTTTGATTACAGCCCCGCTCACCCTGGCCAAGGAAATCAGAGGAGCAGAATTAGCAGGTGACCACTGAAAACCCTCACATCCATGTTTATAATGGGAAAAGACAGCGTTAGTCTGGAGGAAGGGAGGATTGGGCCCTTTTTGAGCTACACCTCTTGAACTGCAGGAGAGCCCCTGCTTTGGAGATGGCTCTTTACAGTTCATCTGTGAACCCAGGCTCTTCCTGTGTGTTTAGGAACTTTCTGAGTCCTTTTTGGTTTTTCACCTTGTTTTGCCATACTCATCCTGGCTCTTGGGAGCCCGTGCAGTACCACAAGAGGTGAAGTTACCAGCTGCAATTACCCACCAGCCAGAACAGACTAGCTGGGTATCTCCTAAGAAGGAAGCTTGCCTTACCGGAAGACATAGTCATGGGAGTCAATCTCCTGGCCCATCCCAGAGTTATTCAATATTCCTCCATTCCCCACAACAGCACAGCTGATACACGTAGGCATGCTGCTGTTGCTATTGGCCAGGAGCAGCTGCTGGTGGGCATTTGGGGACAGCAGGGACATGACCTCCTTCACCACTGTGAAGCAAACATGGAGGAGAGTTAGTACCAAGAGCCTTTGGGATGGACACAGGGAAACCACCAGTTTCCACCATGAGATCCACCTAGTCTGATGACAAGGAGGTGCTGCAAACCTCCAGCTACTTGGCACAGGGTTCCTGTCAGGAGTTTGATGGTTCCATCCTGACATGCCCTGAGGAACTCACATGAATAATTCAGCTCCATGAAGCCATACGGAGGTGCAAAATGCTCCAGGCGATCCCACTCACTGTCATTGAAGTATCTCTTGTCTGTGAAGAGCATGATGTTGGGCAGGAAAAGATCTCGCAGCCAGTCAGACTTGGCAGCTTTGGCCTTCACTGATTCAGAGCAGGTCTAGAAAAAAACCAAAAGAAAACAATAAGGGCTGATTAGCAGGGAGCTGATAAACCTGACCGAGTGCCAGTGCTCGTATGCCTGTGTGTGACAGCATCGGAAAGAAGCACAGAGACTCCAGTGCTACATCATCCATTCCTCTCGGTCTCCCCATCACCATGAACACGAGGCATAATTTCAGCACTATAACTAGTGGGGGGAAAGTCACCTACAAGGAAGCCAGGGTGACTCCAGGTCTCTGAGACTTTCCTCTTTGGAACAACAGGCCTGTGATTCTCACTCTCTACTGGCTTTGGGCCTCATCAACTGATGCAGATTAATATCTGTAACAAGTTGTGCTGGTTTTAGTCAGGAAAGAGTTAACTCTCTTCACAGTGGCTGGTATGAAGCTCGGTTTCTGAATTTAACCTGAGAAATGTACTGATAAGGTGTCTTTTCAGCTGGTGCTGGGGAGTGCTTGCACCAGATTCAAGGTCTTTCTCAGCTTCTGATACTGCAGCTGCATTCCCAACTTTCTCGCTACAGGCAGTGTGGGGGGACACAGTTCAGACAGCTGACCCCAACTGACCGAAGGAGGATTTCACTCCATGGTACGTCATGCTCAGTATATGAGTGGGGAATGGGCCATTACACTCTCTCACACTTTCACTCCTTACACTCTCCTTACACTCTCTCTAACTCCTCTGTTAGCTGCTCTGCTAACTCCTGTGCTGGCTCGTTTGTTCTGAGTAGGTGGGTCTGTTAGTTTTCCCAGTTGTGCTGTCACTGATAAGGTTCACTCGGACCCTGCTGCAATTGCTCCTGGGCTCTGGCTCCCAGGCTCTCTGACTCTCACTTCTCGGGACTTGGTTGTGCCTCGGTTGGTGGGTGGTGAGCAATTGTGGCATAGTGTATCATATGTTTTATTTTGCTGGCTGGAGTTAAACCATAACACAGGTCTAACCTAAACAGAGCACATAAGGCCAGCAGTCCTTGTTAGCAATGCACCTCACAAGGTCCTGGCCTCAGAGTGCACGTGAACAAACACACTGAGGAACATGTAGGATCAGATCATCATTATTACTCCCTTTACACATAAGAAGAAGCGTGCAAACAACTTGTTAAACATCATAAATGAATCACAGAGAAGTGTGAGGCTGAGAAAGGAATCCAAGCCAGCTTATTTAATCCAAGCCAATGGCATCTTGGCTTGTATCAAAAACGGCGTGGCCAGCAGGTCCAGGGATGTGATTCTGCCCCTGTACTCGGCACTGGTGAGGCCGCACCTCGAGTGCTGTGTTCAGTTTTGGGCCCCTCACTACAAGAAAGACATTGAGGTCCTGGAGCGTGTCCAGAGAAGGGCCACAAAACTGGTGAAGGGTCTGGAGAATATGTCTTATGAGGAGCGACTGAGGGAACTGGGCTTGTTTAGCCTTGAGAAGAGGAGGCTGAGAGGAGACCTGAGCACTGCCTACAACTACCTGAAAGGAGGTTGTGGAGAAGTGGGTGTTGGTCTCTTCTCCCTAATGACAGATGATCGGACAAGGGGGAATGGACTCAAGCTGCGCCAGGGGAGGTTTAGATTGGACGTAAGGAAGAAGTTCTTCACTGAAAGGGTTATCACACACTGGAACAGGCTGCCCAGGGAGGTGGCGGAGTCACCATCCCTGGATGTGTTTAAGAGACGGGTGGATGAGGTGCTGAGAGATATGGTTTAGTGGCGGACAGATACGGTTGGACTGGATGATCTCTAAGGTCTTTTCCAACCCAGTGATTCTATAATTCTATGATTCTATTTCTCTAACAATCAGGGTCTCATTGCAGCTGGCAAGAGGTAGGCTCTGTGTGCAGATGGGGAGAAAACAACTCCACCGTGCTGGATTTTCTGCTGAGTCAATTTGGGCTCTGCTTTCCTAGCCATCTTCCCCAAATACCTACTGCAATAACTACTGAAAGACAAAACAGAAGAGCAAGTGGGCCTGCATGCCTAACCCAGCAATGATCAGACTGCTTGCCGAAGCCTTGCTGTGTGCTCCACAGCTGAGCTGGGCACTCGGCTACAGGTGAGGATGACAACCCGGTCACAGCCTGAAGAGACAGACCTCATTCTGCCTGTCACAACAAGAACGACACTCTGGAGGGTTTCATGTTGGCATCGTTTCATTCGCAGCACATTTCATGTCCAGAGACGGGGACATTCCCTTCCTGCTCAAGCTGTACTTTGTACTGTCCAAGGCTTGGTACATCTTGTGCCTCCATAGCTAGACTGGATCAGTACCAGAGGAACTAGGGAAAGGTCTGACCATGTAGGATATGAAGGAGGTGGGAGTGCTTCTAGTCACTCCCTCTCTGCAGAATTAGAGATCACGTTTAGGAGTAAGACCCAACATGTGATGCCTGGATCCATATCCTCACTAGAATCATAGAATCACAGAATGGTTTGGGTTGGAAGGGACCTTAAAGATCATCTAGTTCCACCCCCCTGCCATGGGCAGGGACACCTTCCACCCGACCAGACTGCTCCAAGCCTCATCCAGCCTGGCCTTGGACACTTTCAGGGATGGGGCATCCACAGCTTCGCTGGGCAACCGGTCCCAATGCCTCCCCACGCTCTCCGGGCAGAATTTCTTCCTGATGTCCAATCTAAACCCCCCCACTTTCAGTTTAAACCCGTTCCCCCTTGCCCTGTCACTACAGGCCCTTGTAAAAAGTCCTCCCCAGCTTCCTTGTAGCCCCTTCAGGCACTGGAAGGTGCTATAAGGTCTCCCCAGAGCCTTCTCTTCTCCAGGCTGAACAAGCCCAACTCTCAGCCTGTCCCCATAGCAGAGGGGCTCCAGCCCTCTGATCATCTCCGTGGCCTCCTCTGGACTCGCTCCAACCAGTCGATACCCTTCTGATGTTGAGGGCTCCACAGCTGGACGCAGCACTCCAGGTGGGGTCTCACAAGAGCAGAGTAGAGGGGGAGAATCACCTCCCTCAATTAAAGACCCTTCTGCATGTATTTTCTCCTTTTCCCTACTGAGGAAAGGTTTTGCACATTCTCAGTTGTTCGTCACACCCAGATGCTCTGCAGCCCCAGTAACAGTGGAGGATGTCCTCAGCTTCCTGCTGTGACTTGTTGTCTCACATTCTCTGCCAGCTCCTGCTGTGTACTTCTGAGATGGCTGCACGTGCTCTGCAGTCTATCAGATGAGAAGACAGGAGCATCTGGCAGTCCGTGAGCAGGAACCTTGTGACCTCACCCCACTGTGCCTACAGGCACTAACACTGGGCAGGAGGGATGAGGTACTGTCCCATATGGCATATGCACACAAATTAAATGGCCATTTAATTTGCTCCCTCCCATTTGTATTCTGGGTGCCTCAAGACTCTGGGGAGCCCAGGGAGGATTCACATCCTGCATCACAGACAGGATCATCTGCCAGGCCTTTCTGCTGTGACTCAGTAAGGCTGGGCCAGTCCATGAGCTCAAGCATTTAACAGCCAAGCTCCACACCTAATAGTCACAGATCTCTGGCTGTCTTTGGGGCCAGCTGTCAAGCAGCTCAATGAAGAGCACATCCCATCAGCAACAGAATGGCTTGCAGTGCCAAAAGAGGCAACGGGGAACAACATCAAAGTACTGCAAGGGAGAGAGAACTCAAAAATAAAACATCACAACAATAAAACTCATCCCAGGATCCTTTATCAGCTCAGTTCATCTGCACTCTGTATGTCTCCCAGGGCATTCTGGGCACCCTGGGACTGGGCAATACGATCACATTTTTCAAGAGTAGCCCCTGCTCCACCAGGAGAGGTCTGAGAAGCATGGCATGGTGCCTGCAGCCCTGACAGTCCCCTGGAGCAACATCTACATTCCCACTAATGCCACCAAAATGACACATGGCAATGGTGGGAGATTGCTGCACTGAGACTTTAAACAGGCAAATGGCTCATCCAAGACTACAAGCTAGAACAACTGCTCCCATCCTCTGCTTAACTGCCTAAACCCTCCCTCTCCCTCAGCACTAACACCCATGTATAAAGACCTTCCTAACTCTAGAGAAGGTTATCTGCCTGTCTAAGCCTCCCAGCAACAGGGGTGCCAGGGAAAAATGCTCTGGGTAAGCTGTATAAGGAGTTACCAGCATAAGATGGGGAACAGAGACACTATTGTGCACCACAGCCTGCCTCAACTGCTTGCTGAGAACTTTGCTATAGTTTACGACTTCCCTAAAGGCCCTGTTCCTTGGACCCAAGTAATTATGAGATGCTCAAATTTCATTTTAAATTAGTTCCAAACCCTCACAGCTACAGAGGAATGGTCAACAATATGGTCAGAACAAGAACTCGGTGCAAAACAGAAAAGAAAAAGACAGGCTTTCAATTCAAACATCAGGTTGTTAAGACAACCTGGTGGTGGGCACCAGACTTACCGTTTCAGAAGATGACATCAGTAATATGACCAACACAGGCAGAGGTGATGCGCTGGTTTTAGTAAGGACAGTTAATTTTCTTCACAGTGGCTGCTATGGGGTTGTTTTGGATTTGTCCTGAGGAGAGCACCGATAACACTGGTGGGTTTTAGTTGTTGCTAAGGAGGGTTTGTACCCATTCAAGGAATTTTTCAGCTTCTGGTGCTGCACCTGTGTTCCCATCTTCTGTACAAGAAGCTGGGAGGGACACAGGTGGGACAGCTAATCCAAAGCCACCAAAGGAACATTTCATTTCATAAAACATCACGCTCAGTATATAAGCTGGGAGTTGGGCCAGGGGTGGGCTCTCTCTCTCCCCAGCTCTGGCTCTCAGTTGGTAGGCAAGGTGGTGAGCGGTCGTATAATTTGCTTTCCATTATTTTCAGTACTTATTATCAGTATTGTTAGTATTACTGGTATCATTATTTTATTTACTTTCAACCGTTAGGTTAGGAAAGCCAAAGCCCTGACAGAATTGAACCTGGCCAGGGACATCAAGGGCAACAAGAAGGGCTTCTACAGGTACACAGGGGATAAAAGGAAGTTCAGGGGAAACGTAGGCCCTCTGCAGAAGGAAACGGGACAGCTGGTTTCCCAGGATATGGAGAAGGTCGAGGTGCTCAATGACTTTTTTGCCTCAGTCTTCACTGGCAAGGGCACAAGACATACCCCCCGAGTCACAGAAGGCAAGGGCAGGGACTGGGAGAATGGAGAGCACTTCAAAGAAAACTTTGAAGCTGTAGCTATGTAAGTGCTGCTCCCTTGGCAGGTACAACTGTAACTTTTGAGATTCCCATCTTCACCTCTACCAAAATACTTCTCCTGTGCTGACCAGGCCTTACAGTTGTTCCTATTTAAGACAGAGGAACAAAGCAAGACCTGTTGAATGCCAGATCTGTTATGAAATATTATGCTGTGATGATGGTTCAATGCACGGCAAGAAAATCCTAGATAGCAAACCAACATGCTGGGACCATAGGAGTCAGCAGAGCTCTGGGTAAAAAATCTGCCTGCTCACCAGTGTCTACATATAGGGTGGAACAGTTGAACTGTCAAGGGAAAGACTCTCCTCTTGTTGATAATAAACCACAGGAACATTAACAAAATTTACTTTTTGACCATCATTTCTCCAATGAGGCATACACACACATAGCTGAATTTTTGCCAATGTCAACAGAAAACCTTACAAATGGAAACCATCTCCACCCTACTGACTCCAAATCAGGTAGGTACATGTTTATCGATTCTCATCTAATCCTTTTTCTTTGACCTTATTTTGACTTTAATATGAGCAACTAAGCCTCCGTTCCTGTGCACTGAGACCCCCCTCACCATCACTGCCAGCATTGCTCTACACAGCCTAGCACAGCACAAGTGTTACTACTGCTCCACTGCAGCCAATGCTTTTGACTTGCTTTGGTTTGCAGGTGCTTGGGTGAACAGACACACAGAGGCATTCCTATTCCCTCACCATGACCCTGCTGGTTTTCTTAAGCTGGGATGCGTAAAACAAAGATCAAGGCAAATCTGGGATTGTAAACCTGAGTCTCCATAGGAATGCAGATATTCAGTTTCCCAAGAAATCCGTGAGAAACGGGATGGGGATATAAAGGCTGCAGACACCTAATGTCTGCCTGTAGGCATCACAAGACTAGGTGTGACCCAATTTAGGGTGCCACTTCACAGGGAACATATACGCTGTGTGGTGTGCCTAAGTCCCCTGTGCAATATATCAAGGCACCTAAGACTGGGACCACCTTGTAGCACATCATCCCCAGCTTCTGATGCATCTGAACTCCAGAAAGGGCTCCTCGGGCTGACTTTCAAAGGAAACCATGGAAATGTGTGTAATTGTAGTAAATTCCTATACTGGTCTGTTCTGGAGGACTGGCCAGGCTGAGCTGTACATATAACTCATCTTCTGTGGGTCCCAACAACACCTGCATACACAAGTGAGTTGACCTCCATCCTCAGCTGCAAAGGGCACACATGCCCAGAGGACAGCAGACAAGGAGGTCAACAGGACAGGAATGTTCTTTCAAACACACACGGCCATCACACCTACCAATGGCGGAGATGAGTTGTCCAGCAGGTACTTGTCCTCAAAAGCCCATCGTGGCTCAGACCTGAAGTCAGCAGCCCTAAGTTTCTTCTTTTTTGTCACTGCAGCTGCCTGAGGAACAGGTCTTACAGTTTTCCCTGATGCAGGAGGCTCTTTTGGCTTTGTTTGGAGCTGAGATACGTTTTTTTCATGAGCTCCCTTCACCCCAGAGGGTGATTTTGCTGTTGCCTTCTTGGCTCGCTCCACCCTGGGAAGTGGTTTCACTACTGTCTTTTCCTTGATTTCTTCCACTCCTGGGACTGGTCTCACTGTTGCTTTCTCCTTGTTTCCCTGCACCCTGGGGGCTGTTTTCACGGTTTTCTTCTTGATTCCCTCCAACCCAGGGGGTGGTTTCACAGTCATGTTCTCCTTGGCCTCCTCCGCCCTGGCAACTGGCTTTGTCATTTTCTTCTGCTCCTCCTTTCCTTCCCATCTTGGTGTCCTCTCAACCATATCCTGTTCGAGCCTTGTGATGTCACTCCCTAAAGTCACCTTTAAAACACTCCTTGAGTTCCCATTATCAGAATAGTTTAAACCCTGTCGCTCTTGGGTGTCCATTTGTAGCATATGTGGGGCACGTTGGGAAATGCTCAATTGCCTGGATGAAATCAAAGGAAAAGGAGACACATCACACACACTTTCCACTTACACTGAACACCTTCCAGCCCATTTCTAGTGCTCTTAAATCTGAGCCCCTCTCTATGCTTCAGAGGAACCACCACAGATGACCACCACACTCGCAGGACTTGCCCTGCCCACTGGCACTGAGATGCTGCAGGATGCTCTATGAATTCCATTTCATTTTCAACTTCACCACTAAAGTGTTATTCAACTTCCCACATCATTCTGGCCTGAATCCACCTACCTCCCCACTAAGCAAATCCCAAAGGCTACACACTCCTCCTCAGCACTTGGGTCATGAAACATCCACACTAGCAGCAACTGCAAACCAGCTCAGAGCAGCTTTGCCCAGCACTGGGACGGACCCCTGGCAATGACCCCAGCGCACTGCAGGACTGTTTTGGTGCTCCTAAGTTCAGGACATGGCACACACCATGAAGGCAGCTATCTGCCTCTCTGTCTTTTTGCCAGCAGAGCCAAGTGCTTCAGCAACAGAGCATGAAGCTCTTCCAGAATTCACAGAATCATGGAACGGTTTGGGCTGGAAGGGACCTTAAAGATCATCTAGTTCCACCTCCCCTGCCATGGGCAGGGACACCTTCCACGAGACCAGGTTGCTCCAAGCCTCATCCAGCCTGGCCTTGGACACTTCCAGGGATGGGGCATCCACAGCTTCTCTGGGCAACCTGTCCCAGTGCCTCACCACCCTCTCCGGGAAGAATTTCTTCCTGATACCCAATCTGAATCTCCCCACTTTCAATTTAAACCCGTTACCTCTTGTCCTGTCACTACAGGCCCTTGTAAATAGTCCCCCCCAGCTCCCTTGTAGCCCCCTTCAGGTACTGGAAGGAGCAATAAGGTCTCCCCGGAGCCTTCTCTTCTCCCG